TTCTGGGATGCCGGGCAAAGGAAGAGCTCCAGTAGCATTGGTTCTTCCAGTGACAAGTCAGAAGGCGTGCGTGTTACTTGCAATACTGCTGCAGCGATTGCTTTTGGGAGGAGGTCAGAAGCTGTTACACCCATGGGCGAACTGTTTTTGGGGCGCCTCACTTTTTTTGGACTGTGATGACCTGTGGGAATCTGTCTGCCTCTCCTCTGACACGCAAGCTGTGCTGTTTCAGTTCCCTGTTGGCAGTGTGTAAAGTCACAGTCCGCCTGAAGGCCCATCTTGGGGAGTTTGTGCTTGTGATTTCGCACTCTGTGTAGGAGTGCGGTGACAAACCAGGTTTAATAGCAATTAGCACTTGTGTTCTCTCTTCAAGACCAAATTGATTCGGTTGTGTTAAGATGCCACTGTAAGATATTTCTTTGAGGCTAGGGGTGCACATAGTTGTTCTTCCTCATACTGATTCCAGAACACCAACATGTTTTTTGGAATGTAGGGACCATTGTCCATATTTCCCCCATTAAAACAGATTTATGGCTTCCTGTCCTTTTTGTAAAACCTCCATCAAGATACATCACAAGACAAAGGCGAATGAGCTAATAGAAGTTAGGATGAAAATGAGTGTCCAGTTCTGGTGATGTAGCCAATGATAAAGATAGCTGTGGTAATGGCTGAAATTCAGATTAATATCTCAGAATTGGAAAGCTAAAATTCTCCACTCAGTAATTTATTATTTTTACTTTAGGAGCTTGTGGGAAAGACATAAATTTTTATAAGTAACTGTAAATGAGATAAAAAAAAAAACACATTCAGCATGCCTGAAACTACGATGGTAAGTACTGGTCCCTTTTATATCATTTGAAAAATGTGAGTGAAATGTGAATGATAAGGCTCTTATAAAAGAAGATTTTTCAGATACTTTCTGTAAAGTGGCTTGAAATGTTGCATTTGACATCATAATTTTGTTTTCGTATAGTTCTTTGTTTTTTCCTGTGCGTAATGTCCTTTGGAATTTAAGTAATCTTCTTTGCTTCGAGTACCATAGCTAGTGATCTCTTTAATTTGTGGAAGTGCCATGTCAGTGTTTTCCATGTCTTGGGTGTTTTAATTAAAGTTAAAATAGTTTAAAAAACATCACAACATTTTCTCAATCTGAATTTCTTAAACCAGGTATCATGGCTAGACAAATGCAGCTTATAAGGTGCTATATATTATGGCAAGCCAGGCCAGGATAAATTGAGAACTGCTGATGTCCTGTTTCTAAGTATTGAGTCTTAATCCTATTTCTTTAATGTCAAAATAAAAGAACTGAAGATGTGTTTTTTATAATATACAGCTACAATTCTTTTTATTATTTGAAGAACAATGACTATTTCAGTGTTGAGTTATAATGCAACATTGCTTTCTTATTCATGCACTGCTTGTTGTTGGAGAATGACTGAAGTTTACCATCTTAACGGTGACAAGAAGGGACAAAAGGATTATAGTTAATCTTTTAAAGCTGTTTATTTGATA